CGTTGTTTCATTGGAAGGATTTTTACAGGCCCGAGCAGTAAAACACACTAAGTATTCCACCTGAAGAAAAGCAGAAATTAGAGGATAGTGCAGTAGAAAGAAAAGCTGAACACAAATTTGTTGTGATAAAAGAATGTTTCACAACAAATATATGAATTTAATCATTTATCTCAGAACACTGGAACAGGACTGATGCTGATCTTAATAGTGTACATCTGCAGCAGACCGGAGGCGGACCCAGTTTTCAGGGTTTCACCTAAAAGTATCACGACAATGTGTCTTAAGGTTCCAAGTAGATGTGTTCATTTTACTGAGCCAGATGTGAAATCATCAGCCGCTTCCCTCTCCTCACTTTGTCTTAGCAAAACTTCACAGACACAAGACACAAAGCCACATTTCATTTTCTCTTTTCTCCTCATTTGTGTTCATGTCTGTTTTCTGTTTTGAAAATCAGTAACTATATTCAGGCGAAAAGATAAAAATACAGAGACCTTTAAGCAGGATTTTTTTTCTCAACTCCAACCCAGTTAATCACCCTGTGACCTCTCAGGTTTATCTTATGACCCCTCTGTGGGGGTCCTGACCCCGGGCTGAGAACCAACAGATTAAACAAGTGGAATTCCCAGTCATGAATGTCTCCATTACACGTGTACATTTGCAACACAAACTCATAAGTGTTGATTGTATCTTTATAGGTTCATTCTATAGGTTACCTGCTGCTTGGTGCCATTTAATGAAGCACATGAAGTTTATTTCTGATGAAATATTAACTGGGAGAAAAGAAGATGTTCCTGTAAACTGAACTCCTGTCTCTGTACTTCGTGGTGCGCGTTGTCCTCATCGACAACCTCAGAGCGCCCCCACGGGGAGAAAAGAAGCCGACAAAAGCGCGGGACTGCTGATATGAGGGACGCGGATGGAGGCGCGCACAGCGACGGCAGCAGTTTAACAGGCCAGAGGTTCAAACGAAAATCAGGACGCATTTCATTAATGAGGTTTGTGTGGCAGAGCCAGCTGTGCACGCTGTCAGCGAGACGGAGGATAAGTGTTAAAACGAGATGGAGTCGGTCGTTAAACGTGACAGAAACGAGGACGCGCAGTTTAAGATTTTATCCACTTAAATAACTTTTTTAAATCTATTTGGGAGCAGGTTCCTACTGAAAACAGTCTCACGGGTCTCCTGTATGGATGCAATATTTCACTTGAAAATACTGATTTTTTTTATTGCATTATTGATTTAAACGATTTGCTCATTGTTATATTTTTATTAAACCGCGGAAACGCAGCGCGACAGG